CAACACTTGTCTCCCTGTCCCCAATTTAGCACTCAACTTGGATTGAACTTGCTTATTGTACTAATGTATATTTTGTGCCTAAATGACAACCTCAGGCAGATATATCAGAATTTGATTTCAAAAGTAATCGTGCAGCTTTAGCACTATATAGCAAAGTTATAGGCTTTACATAGGGCCAGATTGCTTCAGGAGATGGGGGAAAATCTTGGCTCTAGTTGGGATCGCTGTAGAATTTTTGCTTTTATAAAGCCTTCTGTGAGCCACCAGGAACTGACAGGTGAAATTGTCATGTGAACTGGAGATTTTTTCAGATATGCTGCACCAACACATTTCCAGCTGCAGGATTTATTCTGGTACTTTGGAGCGTTGTTCTGCATGTCTCTGTATTAGAATGTGTTTTGGTTATCCCGTTATTATGTGCTTTGTGACTGTACAAGCTGGTTGCTTTTCGCACACAGACTTTATAAATCTGCTTCGCAGACAGCTGGCTTGATGTCTTGGCAAGAACATCTCTCCATGTGATGCATATCCCTTCTCCCTATGGGCTGGGAGTGTGACCTGGCTGTACAAACCTAACAGTTCATCCGAATATTGGGGACTGATTCACTATAAGCCCATTTCATGCTGTATTAGTAAACAGCCCATTAACTATATACAGAAAGCAGCCCAACACAGTAAGGCTGATTTACTAAAGTATTTGAGAATGTTCACACAAAGTGTAAAACTTAAAAAAAAAAAATCAGCCTCAGTTTCTTTGAGGCTGATTTTTATTGATTTTGCTTGTTTTTACTTATTTTTTGTTCCCTTACAGGTTACTTACAAAGCTCCAGTCCCAACCGGTGAGGTATATTTTGCAGAGTCATTTGACAAAGGCACATTGGAAGGGTAAGAATTTGTAGACTAACATTTAATGTTTGGCAGTTTTTAATGCTTAAAACATTTTATATTAATAGGCTACCACTGTATATCCTGTTTTTTTTAATTCCCTTAAGTAATAATAGTCAGATTTGATTGGTCAGTGGAAAAAAAAAAGGAATGGGTATAGTGGCCATTTAATGTGGACCACACCTGTCTATACAACTATTGCATAAACCATCCCTGTGAGCCATCTTTAAAAAGGCAAAAATGTCAACCTTTCCACTTGAATTCTTTGTCTCCCTTCTGGTGGGCCATCATACATGACCAGTATCTCTCACAGAGCATAGACCATTGCTACGACCTTCAGTCTTTGCTCATAAACAGATTCAGTGCATATGCAGTGAAAGCTCCTGTTTGTTTTCTTTTGTTTTTTTTTGGAGAAGAGAAAATGCTGGGAATAGGTCATAGAAATGTTGCATAACTGCTATAAATCTTTGAAAGATGATCCCCTGCATCACTTTAACAGCCCTTTTGCTAACCCATACATGTTGTTCTTGTCAAAAATGTTGATCTGTTGCGTTGCTTATTGGCATTTGACTCCTGCCTAATTTTTTTAGTTGTATGTATGCTTAGTGTGTAAGTACTGTCTGAGGATTTCTGGCTGGGGTTCCTCTGTAAATAGTTCTGTGTTCACTGAACAATTGTTATATTTTCTGGAGCAGCTTCACCATTTTGCTCCAATCATGTTCTCTGGAGCAGCCTTACTTTGCTTTGTGGAATAATTCCCCAGGTGGTCATTTTACATCTTTAGTGTACAACCTTTTGGCTGCCAAGGACATGGCAGTCAAAGGGTTTAAACAAGCTTGTTGAAGTCCTCCAATAATTTCTACAGCCCTTGAAAGTGGAGTTATCCCACCCCCTCCCTCAAGTGGTTACTGTACTTTCCTGCTTCTCACTTGGAAACATTTTTGTTGCTCAATCCTCTCTGCAGTGACTGAACCTGGAGGGGTTCTGCTCTGAGCACTTGAGGGTTTGCAGCTGTCAGATGCCAGCCAGCGGTGGCTGCTTTAGGAGCAGATTGGGCTCTTTGTTCACAATCGGCTCCAACACAGCGCCGTGTAGTCATCAGGGGTCTTGTAGACCTTTGTCTCCTGAAAGAGAACCAGTCACTGCACATTACTATCACATGGGGGATAATCAGCCTTGTGATCGTAACAAAGTTAATTAATTTTATTATTTTTAGCAAACATTTTCTTTTAAGTACATAGGTAAAAATATGCACAACCCCAGGAATGCTTGATATTGTATAAATGCTAATTGGCCAAAAAATATTGGGCATCACGCATACGCAAGAGTCATAAAAATAAGTCTAGGGCCATTTTAGGTTAAATCTAGATTTTAAAATGTTGCTGTAAGTTAATATTTAATTTGGGTTATCGCCATTTGAAAATGTGCATACACCTTAACCCCTTCACAACCCATGACGGGATAATCCTGTCATGAAGTCTGAAGGGGTTAAACAGAAAAGCCACCAGGAGTCTGTTCAGTTTTGTAGAGCTAGCGGCCGGCTTTACAGTAGAAGCGATTTCTGGCGGCTCAGCTGCCGCCAGATTGCTTCTACAATCCGGTAACCGGGGGTTTTAAGTAATTTTCAGGACTAAAATGTGGATTAGAAAATTGTGGGAAAAGGGCCTTGGTCCTTAAGGGGTTAAGGACAAAGGCTTTTTTATTTTTTTTTGTTTACATGTTATAATCCACATTTTAGGCCTGAAAATTACTTAAAAGCCCCAAAATTATATATTTTCTGAAAGCCAAGACCTTTTAGAATTAAATAGTGGCAGTTGTAAATCTTGCACAACATTAGCGCAACTTATCAAACCCAAAAATGTCGTGAAAAATGCACTCAAGTTAAATTTGTGCCCCAAAACAATATATAAAACCATATATTATTGTAAAATAAAAATAGATAGCCAACATGCCCAGCTTAAAAATTGTGTGCGTCTGTGAAACTGCGACAGAATTCAGTACCCCAAAAAGTCCATAGACGCTTTAAAAGCCCCTACAGGTCATCAGTTTAGATATACGTGTAAATATTGGCCTTAAAATGATTGCTCTCACTCTGGCGTGTGCGGCGATATCCAACATGTGTAGCGCAATCGTTGTTTTCGTACGTAGGCACACCCGATACGTGTTTATGTGGCGGCACGGGTGCGGGCCTTTAAAAAACATGTGTACAATTATTTTTACATGTATTTTATTTGATATTTCCAAAACTTTTTTTTTTTAAACTTTAATTGCTATCATGGGGGGGGGGGCTTACAAGCTCCCCATGTGATAGCATTTTGGCAGTGACAATACACTCTTTAAAGTCATGCTGGGGGTCCAAAAGACCCTTTGTATCACCTTTGCACTCTACAGGCAGATCGCACTTCAGTAGCTTATTGCTGGGCTTCAGGAGCCCAGCAATTTCAGCTATGGGACCAGGAGTGATGCAATCTGCATCGCTCCAGGTCCCATAGAACGGGGAGGAGATCCGTGAATGGACGTTCACCGATCTCCTCCCCAGCTTCCTGATTACTGGATCGTTGAAGCAATCTGGCAGCAGCTGAGCTGCCAGAATCGCTTCTACTGTAAAGCTGGCCACCGGCTCTACCAAACTGAACAGACTCCCGGCCAGTCTGTTTATCCCCTTCATGACGAGATTATCCCGTCATGAGTTGTGAAGGGGTTAAAGGTGGCAATCTTGGTGTGTTTTGCAAATGTCATGTGATAAAACATTTGGTAACTACCATCTTTTATTTCTACAGGTCCTCTGCTATCAGAAAATGTTTTAGCCCTCGTTCACACCTGAACGTTTTGTAGCGCGTTCTACGCTCGACGAACGCTCTACAAAACGCTCAAAAATATAAATCCCATTGTATTCAATGGTCTCGTTCCCACCTTGGCGTATTTACGCCCGTCCCTAACGCGCTACAAAACGGCCCACGCCTGAAAAGGTACAGGTACTACTTTGGGCCGTTTTGTTGCACGTTTCCATTGGGCTACAGCCAAGTAGCCTTTGGAAACGTGCGACGGTTGCGCGACTTTTACAGCGAATCGCGGTAAAAACGTGGGACAGGCGCGCATGTGCAATACGCCTAGGTGTGAACGAGACCTTAAGTGAATTTCATGCCAAAAGTGTGTGTGTGAGACAAACAAACAAAATACTATAAGCGAAATGGTTAAACATCTGTAACGATTAACCATGATGAGCTGGTGATTTTGACTAACAACATTTTTTTTTGTCTAGGTGGGTTCTCTCAAAAGCCAAGAAAGATGACACCGATGAGGAGATTGCTAAATATGATGGTAGTCACACCTCTTCCTTCTAAAGTTTTAATGTCTCAATTGTACCTATTATTGTTCATAATGTATAGATACACAAGGGAAGGAGGGTGGTTGAAGTTCCCCTTTTTTGTGTATTCCTGTTACTTTAGAAATTAATGTTGGCTAGTGAAAACGAAATATAACATCTCGATGTTTAGTTGGAAAACTTCAAAATAAAGTGCAAAGGAGAGTGCCCTAAGAACGGGGCCAGAATATGATTCTCCTCAGGCTCTGCAGAAGAGAAACCAATCTGCATAACTGCTTTTGGGTGTGAGCAGCTTGGGGAAACTTGTTAGTCGTCAGCTTGAAAATGCAGTTACATGGAATCATTTTTAGTTGTTCAGGGCAGCTCTTAGAAGTCAGCTGTGAAAGTTCAGTTATTGTGCTGTTTGCAAATAAAGCACAGCTGCCAACCCCTTTTAATGCTTTAAATACAACTGCTAACTGGAGGTTTAAAAATATCTTTCTCCTTTTTGGATGCTAATTTTAGTAACTTTCTCATGTCTCGCATACTGAATAGTAAATAAATATCGCTTTCGGAAAGTACCCCGAAGGGCTGTCGCATATGTTTAAAAATAGAAGCCTTTTTATGATGACTAAAAATATGCGAAAGTCATTGTTATCTGTCTAATTTGAAGTTTTTTTTGTGTATAGCTGGGACAATAATTTCCATCAGGTGGAAAGTACAAAAGCAGTATTGTAGCTATCCTATTACTTTGTGGACAATACAAGGCACACAGACACAAAGGTTATTGTTGACATTTTTTTTCCTGTTTAGGCAAATGGGAAGTTACTGAGATGAAAGAGTCTAAACTCCCTGGGGACAAAGGACTTGTTCTGATGTCACGAGCCAAGCACCATGCTATTGGCGGCAAACTTAAAAAGCCATTCATCTTTGATAAGAAACCTTTAATTGTTCAGTAAGTGCATCAAGATTTTTACTGTCTGTTACTATGCATGAATATTTTGGGTTACAGATGGCCAAGTGTAATTTATGTTTGAGGGGTCCCATGGGAGGAGATTCAAACAAGGGCAAGTTATAACCATCTGTTTGTAGAAAAGGATTTGATAGACCAATTTAACACATTTCAAGGAAAGCGAGTCGAGTCCAAAATCACAATTGCAAACTCCAGTGTAATAAGTGTCTGCTACATATATTGCAGTGCTTATAACAAATTATGATTTCCCACCTACTGCTGCTCTGAAGATTATATAAATTACCTTTTTCCTGCAGGCTGTTGACATATATATATTTTTTTTAATGAGGACTGTGAGATTCTACATGGTACAAGAGGTCATCGGAAAGTTGTGCATTTGAAAACAGAAGTACCTGTACTAGGGCCTCAGTCAACTAATTGATCAATAGGAATAGTTGTCAACTATTCTCATCAATTAGTTGGTTGGATCCCCTAGCTCTCCTCCATGCTGGGAGGAGCGCACAGCAAGCAGTGTCCGGGTGCAATAGCCGGCCTGTTGTATTTACGGTTCCGTGTTGCTGTGCGTACCAGTGCAGTGTGATTGCAAAAAATTGTGCATGCAGTTTTTTATTCTGAAGTAACCTTTTTGTAACACTCCATTTTGTGTCTTTTATTTTAAATTAAGGATGGTATTTTTTTATTTTTTTTTATCAGATTAATCAAAAAAGTAATCTGCCAACTAATCGATTATGAAAATGAGTCGCAGCCCTAGGACTGTGCTATCACGGTGCTTCATATTGCTCTTATTTGATTGTATTTAACCACTTCAAGACCAGGTGTTTAGACCCCCTTCCTGGCCAGGCCATTTTTCAGTGTTCAGCGCTGCGATACTTTGACTGACGTTTATTCCGTCATGCAACGCTGTACTGAAATGAATTTTATACCATTTTTTGGGGACAGATAGGGCGTTATTTCGGTGGTATTTAATCACCACTGGGGTTTTTATTTTTTATTATAATTAGGAAAAATTACAGAAAATTTTGAAAAAAAAAAGTTTTTTTTACATTATGTTAGGAAACATTTATTATTAACCAGTTTTTTGGTAAAATATAAAAGTCGGGGTCACGTCGGGTAAATAGACACCAAACATGTCAAGCTTTAAAATTGCGCGCACCCGCGAAATTGCAGAAAACTAC